AAGAATGAGACGTTCTTCGTGATTCACAAGAGATAGACAATTGCAGAAGATCAGGAATAGGTGGAGTGAAGCACATTCCAGCGAGTCTTGAAAATTGCATGAAGTAGATCAGTGAATCTAGTAGATTTCCTAAACTGGATCGTATTGTAAGTTTATCATTATCTATAGTGTAGGTTGTTGACTTGGTCCCGAAGTTTTTAGTCAGTTGGGTTTTCCATCAACAATTGTTATGTTCTTTATTACGTTAATTATTGATTGTGTTATTCAAACTTAAGATAATTGGATTGGTTTGATTAACCATTTAGAAATAATTAAAAAGAGACTTGTTACTTTTAGTTGTATCATTCCACATGTTGGGCCAAAATAAATTGGCTAAATTGAACCTTTAAGTAGTATTTAGACGCTTTTAGGTTTAAATGGCCAAGTTAGTGGGGGCACTAACTCAAATTTTGCAAAGGAAGCCCCTCATCTTCCATTTGATATAAAATCTAATCATTTAACTTCCAATAATAGATTAGTACATCGCAAATAAAATTAACATATCAAGAAACGTATGAGGATGCAAACATAAATGTGCACCGCAAACCTTCTCAATATTACCCTTTTTCTTCTTGTTTGCATGTTCTTCGTTTCTTCATTCTTTTATACATTTTTTATTTTATTTTTTTTATGTTGGGGGTAGTGATGGCAACGGAGCGGGTTCGGAGCGGAGTGCGAGGGGCAGTGGGCTTGCCCCATTTCTTACCCCGTTTATTTATTTTTTTTTTTTTATAATTCCGAGTTCAATGAAATACAGATAACATTCAAGCTAATAAAGTTAATATCCAAAATAAACACTACAAATCTTAAATGTAATGATCGTTATTGGTACACAACATTGATTATTAGGATGAACAAGATTTTTGTGTTTTTTCCTTTGATATTGTCACAAAAGTTGTAACCCCACACACTTTAATTTATTACAATATATAGATTTTCAAATTATTTTTTTTTATAATTCCGAGTTCAATGAAATACAGATAACATTCAAGCTAATAAAGTTAATATCCAAAATAAACACTACAAATCTTAAATGTAACGATCGTTATTGGTACACAACATTGATTATTAGGATGAACAAGGTTTTTGTGTTTTTTCCTTTGATATTGTCACAAAAGTTGTAACCCCACACACTTTAATTTATTACAATATATAGATTTTCAAATTTGTTCAGTTGAACATGTTATATCTTTTTATATTTATTTTTATCAATATAATATCAATTTGACAAAGTAGTATAATGGTATATATAAATTAGTCAAGTTTGATAAGACTTGTACAATTGAAGATACTAGAAAATAGGTCACATCCTTCTATTTGAAGTAAGTTAAACCCTAACCTTTATTTTTAAAAAAATAAAAATAAAAAATTCACGGGGCGGGTTCAGGGCGGGGATGCCCCCACCCCTCGCCCCGTGACAGGGTGACCATTTAGGCCCCGCGACGGGGCGGGGTAAATTGCCATCACTAGTTGGGTGGGGGGGTCTATTTTAATCTCTTACATTTAATATTTTTTTCATCTTTTTCATATTAGCAGTGTAACTTCAATTTAAAGAGTTCGAGACATTGTTAGAAAAATTCATGACCCAGGTTATTTACTATTTAAATATATAGAATGGTCATACATTTTTACGTGGGAGTTTGTAGTGCTTAAATCATGACCAACTAAACGCAATTGGGCTGCCAACAATGTGCTTTCCATCCATCCATTTCAGATAATCAAATCTGGTTGTGCCTGGGGGCATGGACCTTGCGGTGAATGTCACTGTGAATCTTTTTTTCTCATTTGGTTTGCTGAAAGCAAGCACTTTTGGCTCAACCATGATCTTCACTGCCTTTGTCTCCTTAGAGAGTGAAACTTTGTAAGTTGCTGGGTTGCCCACATTGGTTAGTGTTCTTGTGTATTTGACAACTATTGGTGCACTACTTTTACGACCCTTGCCTGAGGCCATCCGGAAAAGAACAGAAAAAGCGGGGTAGTTGAGATCTCCCACTCTGTATTTCTTACCGTTCTTGCAAGAATGATCTTGTTTTGTGATAGTTTTGATCATACTTGAACTATAGTTTATGGCACAAAGAAAGTCTATATAATTGTCAATGGTGGCATCATAGACAAGACCTGGGTCAAGGGCTGATGTGGGGTCCACATGTCCGGCGCCATAATCATATGGGGTTGCGGGCAATCCGGTTGCAAGATCTTGAATGCGTTGTCCGTTCTTATACGTATTATAAGCTGTGGTCATCAATGCCGATCTAATTGCTGAAGGACTCCATTCTGGATGGGCAGCCTTGATTAGTGCTGCTAATCCACTTACATGTGGGCATGACATTGAAGTACCAGAAATTATGTTAAAATCCACCTGCCGAGTATCTTCTGGCAATTCTGTCGGTCCAACTTTTCTGGTCCATCCTGCTAGGATTTCAACACCGGGTGCTATCAGATCAGGCTTAAGTACATCTTTTGTGACTGGGTTTGGTCCTCGGGAACTGAAAAGAGCTATAACAGGTGATGGTTGGACACCCACCTTTGTGTATCCAGTTGCAATCGTGGCTGTCGGATTAGGTTCAGTTAAGGCATACTTTTTTATGATATCACCCGCTGTATAAGTAACAGTTGCTGCAGGGATGAAATGTGCATCAGCAACCAGCTCTCTTCCATCAAATTCAGTATTTGCTATAATGATCCCAATGCCGCCGGCATCTTTCACTGCCAAACCCTGACTTGCCATTCCATAGCCATCACGATCACAGATCACAATTTTCCCCTTGACTTTTCCTGGAATCAGACTTTTAGGGGAGCACAGATTACCGTCGAATGTTCTATTAACATTACCAGCAAACACCAGTGGCGTAAAGGAACTGGGTAATGGTTTTCCACTGTAGAGCGATGATCCAGTGAACTTTTTTCCATTTCCAAGGGTAATGTATGCTGGAAATTGACGATCTATAGTTCCGGCACCTACAGTAGTTATCCATGGTGCAACATTTGACAAGCTTTCATGGAAGGGCCCATCATTTCCAGCCGAACACGAAACAAAGATTCCTCTAGATGTTGCTGTGAACGCCGCAATTGCAATAGCATCTCGGAAGTAATCAATGGTTGAGGCACCTAGAGACACTGAAAGTATGTTAACACCATCTTCTATTGCCTTCTCCATACCTGCTAGTATATCGCTGCTCAAACAGTCACCGAGCCAGCATACTTTATATACTGCTAATCTGGCATATTTTGCCATTCCGTGTGCTGTACCTGCAGCATAACCAAAGAGGCTTGCTCCAACAACAGTTGATCCAGCTGCTGTGGTTGCAGTGTGTGTTCCGTGGCCGTCATCATCCCTTGGTGATTTTGATACATGTGTCTCGTTAATTGGTCCTCTTTCTGCTTCATACCCTTTCGAGAAATACCTCGCTCCAATGAGTTTGCGATTACAGCTTGATTTGTAAAAGGTCTTGCCCACTTCACACTCGCCCTTCCAGCCCCTCGGGACTGGACTGAGTTCCTTGTCATGAAAACTTCTTGATTCAGGCCAGACACCAGTGTCTATCATACCAATGATAACCTCACTCATCCTGTTAGACACAGGTAGAGTTTTGTCAGTGAGAAGTCCAAGGAACTCAGGTGATCTAGTCGTATGAAGTTCATATTGTACTTCTTCTTGGACTGATAGAACACCCGGGTGCTCTTCAAGCAACCTTGCTTCCTCAGATGTCAGGCGCGCAGAGTAGCCATGGACGACATTATTGTAGGTGTATAGCATTTCGGCAGAGGCCGACACCAACTTTAAAGATGAGTCGTACCACTGCTCAAGATCGTCAAAACTTGCGGGCATATCGGACTTGTCCATGTGAATGATGTACGTCTTCTGCTGGTGGTTTGTCTCGTCGGCATCAACACATGCATGACAGAGAAACAAAAGTATCACCAAGGGAAGAAGCCTGAACCTGGACATCTCCATCTCTGTATAATCTCAGTTGAACCAGAGAAGTTCTTCTCTGGCAAATTTCGTTAGTGTTGAGAGAGTGAGAGGTGAGTAAGAAAGAAAATATCAGTTCTCAAGTAGTTAACGTATAGAATTTTTGAATGAGAGCTCCCATTTAGACACATATATATAATACCAGGAGGATTGCTATATCAGTCATGCTTCATGTACAGGTAAGAACCCGTACCAAACACTCAGCATTAGGGGGTGGGTGAGGATTTTTGTAGTTTTTTTTTTTTTTTTGATACTGAGGTGTCCCAATTTCGCCAGACTAAATCCTGGACCTCAAGCCTCCGACCCCTCATTAGCTTGAGGAAGTTAATTGCGGTTTGTACCCTTATTGGCTCCCAAGTTCCTGCATAGCTTTTACTCCTTCCCCAAAGAGGGCCCTCTCCACTGCCTTTCAGCACCTTGCCTTCGAGATAAATCCCCCTTCCAAGATGCCGCCTTCCAAGAATCGAACCCTCCACGCTTGGTTTGTGAGCCCACCAATGCAATTGTTCCACCAACTCGGATGTGTCCTGGGGGGCATTTTTTATTTTTTTTTATTTTGTAGTTTTTTTATATGGATGGGTCCTATGTAGGACCCGCTTGGTGTGAGTGTTGGTATTTCACATAATCCTTGAACCCAGTATTATTCTTGCTCCATTTTAAAGTGGTTGATGTAGGTTGGGAAGAAACCTTTTTTTTTTTTTTTTTTTTAAATATTTTTTTTTTTTTTAAATATATTATTTGTAATCACTTTATTTTGTTATGAATTGATTTATCAAATTACCCTAACTTGCTTGGCGAAAAGGATGCGTCCACTCGCAACATTCTTTTTCAGATAATTCAAAACGTGGTCTATATGTTGTCTTAATTTTGAGGACATATTAGAAAGGAAGAGACAATATGATTAATAAGAATATTTGCCATAAATGGAAGTTATACTTTTTGAGGACGTATTAGAAAGGAAGGGACAAGATGATAAATAAGAATATTTACGATATACGGAAGTGATACTTATTGAGGATAATAATTAATGGTTGAGATGTCTTGTGTAAATTTGAAGAAGTTTATATCCATAGGACATACTCGTTTTAAATTAATAAGACATGACATATCAACTTGAATTTGGTCTTTTAGTATATGTAGAATGAATGAAATATGTTGAGGATGATGGAAAGATATTTAAGCTTGTTTGAGCCACATTATTTTCCAAGAATGCATTTTAGAATAGTAAATTGATAAAGAATTTGTGGTTGAAAAATAAGAAAAAGTTTTGATTTTGTATATAATATTATTTTATTGAAAAATGTGTGATTGAAAATGAGAGGGAGAAAAATGTATTTTAAAAAAAATGGGAATCAAACAAGAGCTTGTTAATTTATTTATTGACAGCAAAACTTATTTGCCATCCATACAATGAGTTGAGCTTGAGATACAGAGTAGGGGTTCAGAAACTATACCAAATACTCACAACAGTGAGGGTTGGTGGATGTTTTGGGTAATTTTTTATACAGGTGAGTCTCGCATGGGACCCATGTGCACTGAGTGTTAATACCCTGGTAAAACAACAAAACTCCCAAACAATAGAGATGTTAAATAATATTGTCGTATGCTTGCGTTATTTTAATTGGGATAATAATCTGGTTCAAGCATGTAATGCCTAACATTTTAAACCAGCTCAAATTTACATGATTTGTATATAAATTAAAATTAAATGGGAATATTAGGAAATTAAATAGGTGCCCTACGTGCATACGTAATTGTGACATATTCAATATGTGATAGTGAATGAACTAAATAGTATACTTCATGAATATTGTTAACTATTGAGCGAATATGATAGATTAAGAAACAAAAATATCTTGTCTTTAATGTAATACCTCTCTTCTATGATTTTATTCATACAAGCATGTTCGTAGTCTCTTCTCTTGCCAATTATTATGAAAATTGTCTTTTTATTCATGGTATTTTTGTTGAAAATCTATAACTTATTTGTTTCGAATAATTATTTCACGAGGAGGTTCAAATATTATTATTATTATTGAAAGACATTAAAGAGGTTCAAATCTATGACTTATTAAGTATATTTTTTTACATATAATTTCTTGAATGAATTGTTGCTACTTAAAAACAATGTTTTCTACGTTTGAGTTGAACTTTATACTTTTTATTTGCATGCAATGCAAAATTTTCTTCGGTTCTGCTATTCTTTTTCCCCCCTTTCTCAAGGGATGAGTTGGAATATACAATAATTAATAATATTTTTATTGAAGAATCTGTGAAAAATCTCTTACGTTAATTAATAGATAATGTAATCAAATAATTGAGAAATTCATATACCTAAGTAGGAAAAGATAATTGATAAAGAGAATGCAGAAGAATAGCAATTGTACCCAAAAAAAGAAAATTTGTTGAGACTTTAGACTTTTCATAAAACAAAAAATACAAAAGAAAAATGAGCACATTTATTGTTTTGTATAGAGCCAAGAACGTGATCCAGTGGGAGGGTGTCAATGGATAATGAGAATGGATAAACAGAAGGAATAGAGATTATAATAGCAATTGAACCAAGAAATAGAAAATTTTTGAGAATTTAGACTTTCCATTAAACAAAAAGTAAAAAAAGAAAAATGAACACATTTCTTGTTAGATGTGGAGCTAGAAACGTAATCTAATGGGAGTGTTAATGCAAATTATTTTGGAACTTATAATCTTTCTTAACATAAACATATTATACAAAGGAATACTTATGTATTTACTTTAGATGAAAAATGATTTAAATATTATTGATGCATTTAAACCACAAAATAAAATAATCGATATACAAGTTAGAAATTTGTCATTTCTTAAGTTTATGTTTTGAATGGCCTTCGAAATACAATAATTAAGGTTATTATGTCACGTTGATAATTATAGATAAGTATAGACACAAATTAGTATTAATAAAATGAAGGCCATTCTACCGCATTTATACTCTATAAAAGTAGTTATGGACTACTAATTAATATATCAATTCAACACACACAGACACGAGAGTTAAAGAAGCCTAGTTGGTCAGTCCCATTGTTTCAAATTTTAATGGATTGCTGAAAAAAAGAAAAAAATTTGCATTTATGTCTAATATTATTTTATGAAATATTATATGGTTGAAAATAGAAAAGAGAAAAATAAAATTTAATTTAATGGGAGCCAAATAAGGCAAGTTTTCACACTAAAATGTCCGCTTAAGATACTCCATCGTGTTATTTAAATAAGTATGACCCACTACTTAATTGGGACCTTAACATGAGTAATTAATTCAAATGTCTTATCACTAGAGGGAATAAAGTGGATAAAAAGATTCACTTCCATATGATCAATTTTACAATTGTTACTCTCTCTTCTACAGGTTTGGCTGTTTCATGCCTTAGTGATTATAGCACTTTAAAGATCAAAATCCCTAAAAAAGAGAATCTTTATCATTATGTGTAATCTTTTATACAAATTTGATTGTTTTACAGCTGACAAGCACCATTCGAAATATCATATTCAACAATCATAAAAGTGATGGTAGAATATACATTTTTTGTTGTTGATCACATTTAACGACCAAGATCAATTGGTCGTTTGTTGATTGACAAAGAGGTATTGACATTCACTGACTAAAATACATTTGGTCGTTAAACGTATAATTCCAGCAACTAAATAATTGATCATACAAGAGTACTAACAAAGAGGGGTTGAAATTCATTAACTAAAATTCATTTGGTCGTTAAATGTATTATTCCTGCAGCAACTAAATAGCCGATCGTATAAGGTATATATTAACAACCAATTCTTTTTTCTACATCCAATTGTTTACTTATTGAATCATCTCTTTTTGTTGTTAAAAAACGATAAAAGAAACCAAATTTTAGTTGCTTCCATTTCAACAATGAAAGAAATGGTCCGTTAAAAATTAACATGAACAACTGATTAAGTCTGTGCATGATTAACAATGAGCTTCCATTATTATTACCATTGGCAAATTTGAATAAAAACTTCAAAAAATTATGATTATTGTTTTAATAATTATTTTTTAAGCACTTATAGCTTGTTTGAAGTGATATTTTCCCAAAAAAAATGTTTTTTTTTATCGTTATTTCACTATTTCAACCGTCATATTTGACTTCTTCTTTCACAGATGAACCCCACTTTTCTCTTAACGGTGAAAAAATCAATTATCAAAATCATTCCGAAATAGGCTCTAAATATATTAAAGTTTAAAGTCAAAAATTTAATAAAAATGAAAAAGGCTGAAGTTCAAACTAACACACTCTTAACATGACATTACAAATATATTCATTCAATCCCTTAATTTTTTAGTTCAAAACAACATAAAATAAAATAAAATAAAATTACAAGATTAGTTAAAGTCCAACTATTGAAGAAACTTTATCTTTGTGCAGATGAAGAATATTTCTTCTCGTAAAAGATATAACCTACATATAAATATGGAAAAAGCTCACCATAAATTTTTTAAAATCTAAATTCTTGCAAGAAAGTTAAATAGAAATGCATTAAATTGAAGTTCACAAGAATTTCAAGTTGCTTCTACTTTTAGCCAAACATATACAATTTTTGTTTCTACATGATAAACTATGTCCACTGAAATTTTGACATCTCAAAATTGTAGTGAAGCATCCAATGTTTAGCGATATGCATTATGTCTACTAAAATTTGACACCTCCAATGTTTAGTGATTTGTAGATCGTGATGCTATGACAAAATTATTAAAAAGTCTTGAATATAAGTTAGCTATAGATTAAAAGCTGAAGATATGATTTTTCATGCCAGTTTTTATTTCCTAAAAATGATGAAACTATGTCTAGCAGGCCAGATGAGATACTTATCAAAAATATCTATATATAACCTATTAAATATGTGTGAGTTTATCATGATATCATAGAGACAAATAAATACCTACCAGAGGAAAGACTTTATATTCCACTATTGAGGCGAAAGAGTAGGAGATTTCAGTAGGTAATGTATCTTTATCTTATTTATGTAACACCAACCTACAATAATCCACTTCAAAATTTGTGTCTATAAAAGAGAGAATAAAAGCCCAGAGGAGTTCACGTTTGAAAATATCTCAACAGATATATTTTCTAATTAAACTCAAAT